AGCAAACAGGCCCTTCCAACTTCACGGGAAAGAAGACGGCTCCATTTCACCCGCGTCTCTTGTTCGCTGTCGCTTGGACTGCGACGACTCTGCGACATCAGCAGTTGCGCTTTCCACTTCCATCATATCCATTTCCTCCTCGAGCATCTGAGAGAGAACGATGGATCCTCCTGACTTCCTGCTTTGAGATCACGTGCTGATCCTCCGGCTTCGTGGTTTCCGCCCTGTTTCCGCCCTGGTCCAGCATTCGGTGAGTGGGTTGACCGTTCGCTTGAGGAAGAAAGCACTCACCACAGCCCGCCTGGAGGTCATCCACCTGGCCCTTAGTGAGGCCGATGCACGACTGTAGATCATCTCGTCTCCATGACATCAGCTTGTTCATGTGCTCGAGCATAAGCGGCACTGGGACGACATAAGCAGCTAAACCGTTGTCGGGGTGGAGACAGACGATTCTCAGATCTGTTGCAATCAAGTCGTAGTAGTGTCTCAAAATCCAGGCATAGATATTGAGTTGGATGCGATAATGCCACAACATGGCGTCCGGAATGTCTTCAAAAAGGAAAGCGTAGTCGGCGTCCGAAGCCGGCGTCTTTGCGGGACAGCTGCTTGGTCCTTTTCCAGTCCGACAGGCAAATGTCCGACCCGCGCCGAGCAACTGCATCAATGGAGCCGGCTAGATCTTCTGCTTCGGCGTATATTGCCCACTCAGTTCGGTGAATGATCCAACCTTCCGCCTGCAAATTTTTGAGGAACTTCATGAACATGCAGATTTCTGCAGAAGCCATTGGCACACTGCCGCCGTTCAGAAGGCATTCGCACATGGCATGCATCCAAGTTCCCTCTGCAGCAGCCGTTCGGCGATTGCGTTCCCATTTGTCCAGAATCTCCGCATCAGTCAGACTCACTATTGATGCCAGATGACCATATCCGGGGTGAGTCCATATGAGATCCCTCAATCGACAACAAACTGCTTCGAGATCGACTACAAGAGACGTGAGAAGATGCTGCAGGGCCGCCTCTGGGGGGCCATCGGAACCTAAGGCGCGTCGCAATTCTGGAATCTTATGCACGGCCACATAGTCCAGCCGGGCCAGTTGCGACCACCACTCATGGCCGGCACTGCCTCGGAGGCGTTGAACTTTTGGGCCAGAGAGTGAATCAGACTTGTTACAGAAAGTGTGACTCCTTTGTTCTGCCACTTGTATGAATGATCCGCGTCTCGAAAATGCAGATAGCCATCGCGTGGGTGGGGGTGCAGGACAGCAAGAATGTCTAGAACTGCAACACCAGCCAGTCGCTCGGTATCGAACGAGGACGGAATGGCCGCGCATGCAGATCGAGGACCAGACCATTCCCGTATGCCTTGTGGAAGACATGCATCCAAGGCGAAGTGGCATAGACAGCAATTTCCGCGAATGCGTTCGGTCCCATCGCAAAGAGAAAAGAAGACACCGTCCTCGAGCCGTTCACATCCATTGTTGATTCTCTGTGCCACATCATCGCCTGAACTGGAGTGTAAGGACAGTGCTGTCGCCGAAGTCGGCATGTTTGCCATGCACACAAAATGCGTTCACAAAGCAAACGGAACTGGACATCATCCCATTGGAAGCGTAGGTATAGTCCACACAGAGCGTCCCAACGGCGTCTTTCCACACGCATCCGCATCTGTTCCGACATCTGCACAGCAGCTCCTGCTAGGCGATCTTCCAGGAAAGATTCAGGCAAGCAGGCCAGACAGATGTCGCCATCATCCCCAGCGACTCCATGGTGTTCGCAATCGCAAAGTTCGCATCTGGCACAGCACGCAAGGCTGTCGCGAGAGCAATATGCGCAAACGGGGTACCCGAAGGACGCCTGATATTGGAATGGGTGGGTGCTTACCTGGAAGGTGTGGATGGAGTGGCCACTAGCAGCCAGACACATGGCGGCAGTCCGCGCCCAAGGCTCCACGCTTTGCTCCATTGTCAATGGAATCACTGCCACACTTCTCCCATCGAGGACAAATTCCAGGAAGTTCGCTTGCCACTGGAACATAAACGTGTGTGGAGAACTTCTTGCACCTTCTTTCAGGTAATTGGGAGTAGGAACTGATACTCGCTCACCATCCGATAATCGGAACTGCACTCTGCTTCCAGCTGTGAAAGGTTTTCGAAGAACCAGGCATGTGCTGTTCTCTGGTGTGCTCCGATGTTCAGGACGCCGAAGAGCGAGAACAAGGAAACTTGTTTCCGGAGGAAGTGTCACTGCGAACGGCGCAGTTTGACAGACCTGCTGTTCTGTCCTCCAACACATGATGCATGTGGCTGAATGCGGAAACTGATCAGGCCTGACAACACACGGAAGATACTCGCCGGCGCCGTGCAGCCAGAGCTTGCTTCCCATGGAACTTAGGAGGTGTAAAAAGTAATGTGGACATGCAATACTCCGGACGCTCATACTCCATAACTCGAGCAGCTTGGAGAAAAGAGAACTTCGTCTGAACCTGAGATTGAGGTTATGCATTATAGTTGTAGATCCATGTCATACCAAAAGCCGACGTCCTCGATTGTTCTAAGCATATCGCTGCTGCATGCTGCCATTGACATGGTGTCACCCAAGCACGCTATCCAGGATGCCGACATGGCGAACAAGTTCGTGGGGTCTGCGGATCCGCCCCGCTGATCGTCTCGAGATAGAAGAATGGACTGAGGCCGTACTTCCGTGGGGGGAAAATGGCTTGCACAGACAGTCGAGGTTCGATGGGTGTTCTTCGGCCCCAAAAGAGACACAGACACTTGTGCCCAGTTCTGCACATCACACCCAGCAAGTGACAGAGCCTCGATCTTGTGGCCGTCGAGAAAGACCTCCAAAGTACTGTGCCGCCACTGAATTTGGACAAGGCGTTCCGGGAACACTGGCGGCAACGAGACCCATCGGCGTGCGTTCGGCCCTGAGAAACGACCGTGCCCTGCCTCCACAGTCATGACCTCTTGGAAGGGAGCCCGGATCTGACACCAGCATCGATCTCCGGGCGTCGCGGCACTGTCCTGCCTCTGATTGCCCACGGAGATGACGCACAGCTCTGGGCGGTCGGCGGAACTTAACTCGAAGTAGATCGGCGGGATCACCGACTGCTTCGTCCGCCAAAGTAGATACGCGGAACCGTCCAAATGCATCTGGACGGTCCGCACGGGCCAGTCACCCGCAAGGATGCGAGATGCCGTCAATGCCTGGGCAAGACACGACCTTCCTTCACCAAGGAAGTTGGCCTCCACAGCACCCGCGGGAATCACGCCGGCATACCTGTTGGCCCACAAACGTCGCTGCGTCAGCATCTCTCGAGCAGGCCGACACGATCGCTCTAGGTGTACCAGGGACCGCATGTCACCGATGGTGCTGACAATCTCTCTTAGCAGATGTACCGGCACGTCGGCCACGCTCCCCCCCACCAGGTCGACGGCACACGTGAGTCCTGCGTGGGAGTCCTGGCACAACGCTCACTACATGTAGGTACCGATCACAACTGTAGATCTAGTTCATACTAAATTCTAAGACCATATATATAGAGAAACTAAGATGACTACCTGTGTCTATAAAACTCGACGACAAACCGTCCTGGATCATGAAAATCCCAGCGCAGACGGCCGGATCGATTAGCCAGTGTCCCAGGTCAACGGAGAAGCCGAGGGGGACACTTGTCTCGCCTCTGATGACAGTGTGCCATTCATGTCGGCGATTGCCGTGATTCACCTCCAGACAGCCTTCGTTTTTGCGCAAAGCGATAAAGTGATTGCCCACGGTCAAAATAAACTGTCCATTGGACAGAGCAGACACCTGGCCCCATGTTGTCCTTGTGACCATTTTCCTTATGTGTGGGAATTCAGGACGCATATAGAGAAACGAGCAGTAAGCCATGGAGTGAAGCCACATTGCGTCCAGGAGACTGGTACGGCTCCAGGAAGCGATTCCCGTCTCGCATGGCCCAGAACGGACCATGTTCCCAATAGGCGCATTTATAGCCGTGTGCTCGTAGAACGTCAACGAGGCACACGTCCATCTTCTGCCCGTCTCCACCTGTCGAGACACCGGCAACATATGCCATATACAGACGCGAACTCAATTACACACACACATATACAGACACACACACACACACACGCACGCACATCTATAACAAACTAAGCATTCTGTTGCCGGGGAAAAAAATGGACTCTCGCGTACATGGGCTTTTCTGCGAAGCGCCATTCCTTCAGGAGGCGAGAACTCATTTATTTAAGTCCTTGCTGCACGTCGCAGTAAGTCATCAGGCCTGATCGCTGGTGCACACGCTTGCACCGGCGTGCCCACATGTGTCGGGAAATCGATTTCCAGCAGAGCTCATCCTGCGATCGCTTTCTACTCTGATGTATTCAATCTCAGTGAAGTCCATCATTGTTTCTCAGACACGTGACCTTTGCCACGGGCAAAGCGGACGTGCTGGGCCATGGAGCCAGAAGCCTCATATACACCGTTCTGTCGTGTCTGTAGATAACCTGGACAACCTCCTGACCTTATAAAAGGTGTACGTTATACGTTCGGCCATCTGACCGGGAAAAACCGCTATGACCAGGAAAACTCTCGTGTGACCGTTTGGGCCGGGATTTCCCGGGATTCACCGGGCAAATGTAGACCCGAATGGATGCTGGCTCCGCATATCCTTTCT